CCACGCAGTGACTACCTCACTGGCAACTACCGAACACACTGTTCCTAGCTCCGACTAACCCAACTGAATTTCCCTTATTATCAACACACTAAAAACAAGACAGGAGATTTAAATACCTTACCACCCTTTATATACAAAAAAGCTTCGCAAGTGCTGTTACCAATCATTGCAACACTCTTTAACAAATCCATCGAATCCTCTACTTTCCCTACAGTTCTCAAAATAACGAGGGTCACCCCGATACATAAAGGAGGAGACCAAACAGACTTGAATAACTATAGGCCAATATCCAACTTACACCCTCTCTCTAAAATCTTTGAAAAAATAATTCCTACCTCATCTCCCGCAACATACTCAATCCCTGTCAGTTTGGGCTCAGGCCCAATAAAAAAACGAATGATGCTATTATACACATGCTAGAACAAATATACATGGCACTCGAGAAAAAAGAAGTCCCACTGGGGATCTTCATTGATTTACGTGAAGCTTTTGATACAGTTGATCATGATTTGCTCCACATAAAATTTTATTACTATGGTATAAGAGGGCACTCCCTCAACTACCTAAAGTCATACCTCAGCAACAGAAGCCAATATGTGTACACAAATGGAGCAAACTCTTCCACACAGACAATTACAGTTGGTGTCCCACAGGGAAGTGTCCTTGGCCCTCTTCTCTTTCTTATTTACATAAATGACCTACCAAATGCATCGCAACTACTCAAACCCACACTATTTGCAGATGACACTACATACGTCTTCTCTCACCCAAGCCCAGTCATGCTAGCTAATTCTCTGAATACCGAATTACAGAAAATATCTACCTGGATGATGACTAACAAACTTACTCTCAACATTGACAAAACTTACTTCATTCAATTTGGAAACAGAGCTACAGATGTCCCTCTTTACATAATGATAAACGGATCACCTACAACAAAGCTAACAGAGGGAAAATTCTTAGGAATCCACCTTGATAATAGACTCAAATTTCAAACACATATACAACAAATTTCAAAGAAAATTTCCAAGACCGTAGGCATACTATCGAAGATACGGTACTATGTTCCACAGTCAGCCCTCCTGGTCCTATATCACTCAATTATTTACCCTCATCTCACCTATGGAATTTGTGCATGGGGCTCAACAACAATAAACCATCTCAGACCATTAATTACCCAACAAAAGGCTGCAGTCAGAATGAAAACAAATTCCCACTACAGGCAGCACACTCCACCAATATTCAAAACACTCAAACCTACTCACCATACAAAACATCCATACTTATTATTGTACCTACTACATACATAGAACGCTTAACTTGGATATAAACCCTCCCTTTAAACGTCTCCTTACCAACCTCAACAGAACACATGACCATAACACAAGGCACAGATCACTCTTTGATGTTCTTCGTGTCCATCTTACACTATGTAAAAACGCAATGCACCTAAAAGGCCCAAAAATCTGGAATTCATTACCTGTGATTATAAAAGAAACACTGTCCGTTTGTAAATTCAAGTCTCTTCTTAAAAACCACTTACTCACCCACAACTAAATAAATACTGAATAACTGTATCTCATAGATGTATAACCTGTGACCCTAACAAGCTTTGTTTTTTTTAATTACATTACCTAATAGAATACTCCATTCTCTTGAATGCACAGTAACTCATCAAATGACCATATGACCTGTCTTTGAAATACTCATTTGTGCTTAATTGTTATTTGTTTACTGTAATTTTTACCACTGAATATATCATTGCTTAGTAAATCTTAAGTTAATATTAAATCTGCCCATAATGCTCTGCATACAAGGGTATTTTGGCATGTACACTTGACCACTGTATTTCTTTGTACATCTATGTATCATGTCAAAATTATTATTAATAAATAAATAAATAAATCTTTATTTACTACCAGTACATGTACAAGGTATACAGAGCATAGTTGACATCAGTGACATGCTACTATACAGAAAGTCCCTTGTTATGCTGAGCATTTCCTGCAAATAAGGTCAGTTTTGTCCCAGGATGCGACCCACACCAGTCCACTAACACCCAGGTACTCATTTAACTGATGGGTGAACATAGACAACCGGTGTAAAGAAACACGCCCAATCTTTCTACCCTCTCTAGAAATCGAACGTAGACCGCACCGTGCGAAGCGAGAGCTTTAGCGATCAGACCACGAGGAATTTTGCCTGAACTCTCAAATAACCTAATCATTGGAATAGTGAATGCTGGTTTAGCGCTTTCCGTTTTGGTTAGGTTAGCCCTGGGGGCTCATTTTTAACACAATATACGTGAAACTTTTACCTTAGACTTTAGACGAAGCCTTAAGCCCCTAGGATAAATCAGACACCTTAAATCAATTTCAGATTACCTCTCCTGAACGGCTTTAATATTGCATAATTGATACATCTTAGGGCCAGGATGGTACTCATTAAGTTTTGTTTGCATGCAGGATAATTTGTTTACGTAGTAATTAGTAAAATAACTTGGAAAATCGTGTCATAACAGATGAGCTTCACATTGTCATTACAGTGGACCCCCGCATAACGATGGCATCGCATAGCGATTTTTCCGCATAACGATTACTTTTATCGCAAAATTTTTGCCGCGCCCTACCGATTAAAAACCCGCATACCGATTTTCGTCCGAGCGGTCCAAGTGCCTAAACCAGCCCCACATGTGCCGCTCCCTCCATTGTTACCAGCCAGCCTCCGCGGTAACATCCAAGCATACACTCGGAATATTTCGTATTATTACAGTATTTTCGGTGCTGTTTCTGGAAAATAAGTGACCATGGGCCCCAGAAAGCTTCTAGTGCAACCCTGTGTAAAAAGGGTGAGAATTAGTATGGAAATTAAGAAAGATTTTGAAGGGTTTGGGGCTAACCTGAGAAGCCTATGCCAGTTGTGGAATCCACTGTGCCTACTTCAGAGATTAAGGAAATGTGTGCACGTGGGTTGAACTGCAAACCTTTATAGATAAAAATCACCTGACACAGCTGTTGCAAGCCGTGCTGGTGACTATTTCAATGACAATGTTTGGCCCTTTTTGGGGACAAATCGTAAAGGAACGGGAGGTACAGAGCTCTATGGACAGATTTGTTGTGCGACAGAGGTCAGTGACTCTCAAGCTGGTCCTAGTGGCATTAAAAGAAGAAGGGAAGTAACCCCGGAAAAGGACTTGCTACCTCAAGTCGTAATGGAAGGGGATTCCCCCTTCTAAACAGTAAGAAGTAATGCTCTCCCCCCTCCCATCCCATCAATCTCACCAGATCTTCAATAAAAGTAAGTGTCATTTAATTGTGCATGCCTTTTTCAGTTTGTGTGTATTAAAATTAACATTTCATGTGGTAAAAAAATTTTTTTTTCATACTTTTGGCCGTCTTGCACGGATTAATTTTATTTCCATTATTTCTTATGGGGAAAATTCATTCGCATAACGATTATTTCGCATAACGATGAGCCCTCTTGCACGGATTAAAATCGTTAACCGGGGGTCCACTGTACTTGTGTACTTTCCGGAGTACATGCTATTGTTGTCACAAGCCCCATATTACGTGTTTTACTTAATAAATTGGGATGTTCATTTATATACAGAAGCTAAAGAATGTTTTTTATCTGGTTATGTTCAAACTTTCATTGTTTACCTGGAGACCTGGGGTTTACCTGGAGACCTGAAGTTTACCTGGAGACCTGGAGTTTACCTGAAGACCTGGAGTTTACCTGAAGACCTGGAGTTTACATGAAGACCTGGAGTTTACCTTGAGACTTGGAGTTTACCTGGGGACCTGGAGTTTACCTGGAGACCTGGAGTTTACCTGGAGACCTGGAGTTTACCTGGAGATCTGGAGTTTACCTGAAGACCTGGAGTTTACCTGGAGACTTGGAGTTTACCTGAAGACCTGGAGTTTACCTGGAGACCTGAAGTTTACCTGAAGACCTGGAGTTTACCTGAAGACCTGGAGTTTACCTGAAGACCTGGAGTTTACATGAAGACCTGGAGTTTACCTTGAGACTTGGAGTTTACCTGGGGACCTGGAGTTTACCTGGAGACCTGGAGTTTACCTGGAGACCTGGAGTTTACCTGGAGATCTGGAGTTTACCTGGAAACCTGGAGTTTGCCTGGAAACCTAGGGTTTACCTGGAGACCTGGAGTTTACCTGGAGACCTGAGGTTTACCTGGAGACCTGGAGTTTACCTGGAGAGGGTTTCGGGTGTCAGTGGGTGAGCTTCATGTCCGTTATGAGTTGCATAATTTGAGTTTGTAAATTTTGTTAAATATTATCCCACATAAAAACTAGAAAAAGCCACTTCTGATCGGTTTCAAACCCAATATGCTGGAGAAAATCAATTTTTTTTCTATAAGATTTTAGAGAATTTGAAATAGAATATAAATAATATGAAAAACTCAAAAATAGAATTTGCTTTTTCGGGGGGCTGTAAATTTAATAATTTTTGACTTTTAATTTGGCAACATTCTGGGCAGAATCATTCATTTCTCCCAAAATTTTCATTTGTAATTTGAGATCACTTTTTTTTTTGAGATAGACTCCAAATTTTGAACGCAGATTTATTGTATCTAGGGCAACATTTACAAGAATATTTGCATGAGTGGGTATGCACAGCGTCACATGTGATATTCTCAGACTGTAAATTCCTTGTTGTAAATACTCGCTGTGCACACCGTAAATTATTTGTAATATATATTTGGTGATGGAATACACGGGAGAATTTTGCTGATTCGCTTACGAATAAGTGTAGAAGCCCACAAGACTTCAGCTGTCTTCGTAATACTTTCCTTTCTCTGACTGCCTAGCGATTGACATACATCAAGTTTATTTTTTAATGGTTTGGAGCAGTAAGCCAGCAGAATGCCTCAGCCAAGTTCCTCTAAGAGGGTCAGCTTATAAATATATGTCGGTAGAATTTTTTCCATTCCTCCTTCCAAAAAACTGACATTTGCCATTACCTCTGAATTAAACTCGTACCTGGAGTTGATGAAGGTTGATTGCTGCGATTCTCGACCCTCCAGAAGGAGAGTTGTTCTTAGCCACCTTCTTCACTTCGTCTTCTGCCCATTTGTATACCAGGCCACCTTCTATCAGTCGGATTATACTGACAAAAAAAAAGGATAAACTAATGGGTTATAAACAAAGAAAAAATTTCGAGAGAAAATAATTTTGAAATATTGAAGACTCTACTTATCAACGTAGTTTACTTAACACTACGATGTTGCAAAACTATGTATTTATAAATATTCCTTAATTAATACGATATAATATGTACTGACACACTGCTGAAGACGTCCTTGTAGGGGGAGCCTGTGGGGCAGGCGATGCCGTAGCCCTGAGGTAGGAAGGTCTGTCGTGCTATGTAAAAGTTACCTCGACCTCGCTTAGTGGCTGTCAGTCTCGAGTTGAGCTGAGCGTTGACGAAGACATACTTATGTTTCAGTATCTGTCAGGAACAAATTACAGGAAAGAACTTTACGGAGAGATCTCGCCCGAGGACAACCTTCTTCAGTCAGTGATTGAAGAAGCTTGTCCTCAGGTGCAACTGTCTTATTTAAGAAAGATATAAATTAACTGGGTCTTCCTATATATACAAATCACACTTCAAATGACACTATGACAATAATAGCAAAAATAGCAATAATAATAATAATAATAATAATAACAATATTAATAATAATAATAATAATAATAATAATAATAATAATAATAATATCTTTATTTCTACAAGTACATGTACAAGGTATACAGGATCGACACCAAGCCTAACCCTTCTAGGGTAGGGTAGGTGCCTGAGCCCGAGCCTTTAGCTCATAAGACTGTCATGCCCATTTGCCCCCTTGGGGCGGGGATGGCAGACCAGAGAGGCCTAGTTTGTGGCTAGGCCTGGGGACAGTTGGTCCCGAAGATGAGGAGGTACTTGTGCCTCCTCCCATGGGAGACTTAGGTCTCAGACACTCCCTAAAGAGGGAGCCAAGGCCGGGCCACCACTTGGAAAAGGCCCGGGCCGGGAGAATACCGGCTAATCTTTAATAATAATAATAATAAAAATAAGGTATACAGACCATAGCTGAGAGAACAAGGTGAGGAGAATATTGCGGAGATTGGAAGACACAGTGAAGATCAGGAATTTCAATTCATAAGGATTATCGACTGGACGAAGATTGGAAAACAGTGTGTGTTGTGTTCGCAAATCTGTGTTAGTTTACGCACAGATTAGCATCATTCCTGGTGATCCTTGGACTGTGTTTAGTGCTTCAGAGCAGTGAGCCACGAGAGGATGGCTACGGGCCCCGACTGGGGCTCTGAGCCTCACAGCTCTGTACCCAGTGTGGGCGGCTGTGAGGTCACAGGCAGCAGCTCTGCTGCTGGCTCTGTCCCCACACCTACAGTCACCATGACAGATCCAGGAGAGCGGCCTAAACGTTCCTTGGAATGCGGGGACGAGTTGGAGGACGACGTGGGGCAGGTGGGAGCCCCACCAAGAAGGCCAAGGATGCAGTGGAGACTACTGTACCTACCAATCTGCCACTAGGTCCGTCGGCAGCCCCTACCCAAGAAGACTTGCACCCCCAGATGGCCATAGGGGTCGTGGAAGGAAGCCAGGAGGATGTAGCTCCTCAAGTGGCAAGGATGGAGCCATCCCAGGTCCCTACACCAGTTGCGTTGGCCTCCACAGTGGACGGGGACTGGCTGACTCCACGTGGAAGGAGGAGTTCCCGCTCAGCTAGGGCACAAGCAACCAGGGCCTTCAACAAATTCAAGGTTCCCAACTACGGGTTTGTAAGGTATCTGGAAGGTCTCCCCCACCTCAAGTTCCGCTGCGAGTTCACTCTCAGGAACGAGGTTCTGGTCATTCCCCGGGATGAAGACTCTTACGAGGAGTTGAAGGGGCTGGTTGTGACCCATCCCAGCATGGTGGAACTGCTTGCTTCGGAGAAGGTGTACAAGGGGGTACTTTTACACGTCCCTGTGCCCCTCCCACTGGACCCCATTTTGGAAGTGCCCAATATTGTCAAGGCGGAGCGACTCACTGCAATGGTGAACAAGGTGCCCACCCGCCAGGTGCTGATCCACCACAAAGGTCCACTTCCCACGCACCTGGACCTTGGGGTCTGGGGAAGATTCAAGACCCGACCATACCTGTCAGGCCCAGTACAATGCTTCAACTGCCAGGGGTTCAATCATATTGCAGCCACCTGCCAGCGAGAGAAGTGTGGTGTGTGCAGCAAGGCACACGACTCGAAGGACTGCATTGCAATCCTCAAACAGCCAACTGGCGAAGCCCTTCGGCCAGAGCCCAAGTGTGCCAACTGCTCAAAGAGGCACCATGCCTGGAACCGGAGCTGTCCTGTGATGGTGCAGCACTGGCAGCAGGTTCGTCATCGGAACGATCCAATCACGGTTCCCCGGATACCACAGGAGGGCAATACCAGCGAGTTCCCAGCACTGGGCTCCCAGCGGTGGCATCAGGGGGCAGACACTGGTTTGCAGCAGCGTGGTTAACTGCGGGGTCAGATGGCAAGGTGGCCAAGAAGACAGATTCATTGGGAAAAACAGCCACAGGCCAGGCACACTGCCCAGCAGGTCCCAGCTGGGCACCAACATTCCTTGCCATACCACCAGCAGGCCTCTTCCCAAGGGCAGGCCCCTACTGTGAGCGGCCAGAGTCAGGCAGAGGTTCCCCGCCAGGGGACTTGGAAGCCCATGGCCACTCATGCTGGGCCCAGGGTGCACCCAGCTTATGCTGCTGCAGTGTCGACAGCCACCCAGACATACCCAGTGACCCAGCCCCGACTCGACGGGTCGTCCAGCTCAATGCCTGCAGAGGTAATGGTCGAATCCTTTCCAGATCGACTGAAGAAAACCATCGGGGTCATCTCAGTGCTCCTCTGTTGCCTGCTGCCGTCGGCAGAGGACAGGGGCGCCTGCAGGCAGCTCCTGTCATGGATGCTGGGCGTGGTCCTACTGGACAGGAAAGACTCAATGGAACTTCAAGCCATCATCCAGGAGTCCTTCCAGTCTGTGATGGAGGAGGCCCCGGAGTCGCCAACAACGGACGACGAGTCCCAGGCAGAGATGGAATCAGTGAGCCACCTCTGCGGCCCTTGAAGATCCTCCAGTGGAACATTTGTGGGCTGCAGCGGAAAATTCACTTAGTGATTGAAGCTGCAGTTCAGGATGAGGTTGATGTCTTCCTGTTTCAGGAGACACTCACCGATTTGTCACGTCAAATGCAGCCACGTATTCCTGGATTCTCTGCCTACCTTCAGCGCCTGGAAGTGACTGGCAGGGGCACGGCGATCTACGTCAGGACCACTATCCCTCATTTAATCTCCACTGACCCCATCGACTGTGGGGAGGGCGTAGAGGTTCAGGCTGTCACCCTACACCTGGCGGATGGACCTCTCGTGGTTTACAATATTTACAGAAGCTCTCGGTACACCCTTGACATTTCAGAGGTGGCAGCACTCGCCCCACGGGAGGGTCTTGTTGTGGCTGGGGATGTCAATGCCCACCACCCAATACTTTCTTCTGTCTCTCCTACCAACGCAGCTGGGAGGCACCTTGCGGCTATGCTGGAGGAGGTCCCTGAGATCGCCCTCCTCAATAATGGTGAGCCAACCCATCACTATGGTGGCCGCTTGGATGTCACACTCATCTCTAGGCGGTTGCTCTCGAGCGCGAGATGGGAGGTCCACCCCGTCTCACCAGTGATCACTTTGCAGTGGTCACTACGCTGATGGTCCAGCAGTGCCCGCTCCCCACACCTACCCCTAGATGGAATCTAAAAAAGGCCGACTGGCAGTGCTTCCAGGAGGTCATTGAGTGCTGGTGGGTGGAGTCTCCTCTTCCAGAAGACCCAGATGAGGCGGCTCAAAGCTTGCAGGTGGCCTTCACATGTGCAGCTGAGGCAGCAATACCTAAGATTATAGGCGGAGGGTCATATAAACGTGACTGGTGGTTTTACAATGGGACATCAGGGAACAGAACCAGCGCATCAATGTTGAACGCAAGATGCACAGGCGTAATCCCACGGTTGAGTCCATGCGTTTGCTCAGGGAAGTGGTGCAGCATGCACGCCATGTCTCACACAGGGTCCGGCAGGCTAAATGGTTCGAGTGGTGTGCCTCCTTCAGCTACTCCTCCACCTTATCTGAGATTTGGACCAAGTTATGATTGGCCACTGGGCAGCGTTGCAGTGTGGCTCGGTTGCACCCAGACCCCGCAACGGAGGCAGAGCGTCTGGTGGACCTATTCACCTCCAGAGCGGCCATGGCTCAACTGCCTCAGGATCTCCAAGACCTCCAAGCCACCCTCCTTCCTAGAAGGGTGATGGTGATCCAAGCAGCATGCCAGGCTAAGGACGTCACGGATGAAGACTTCACCGACCAGGAGCTCCAGGCAGCCTTCACATCTCATCGAGACACTGCACCGGGGCATGATAAGAACATAAGAACATAAGAATGTAGGAACACTGCAGAAGGCCTACTGGCCCATACGAGGCAGGTCCTTATCAAAACGACATCTACCTAAAGCTACTCAAGAAATAACTCCCGTACCCCTTGACACCAATCAAACCCAGCCCCTCCCACTCATATATTTGTCCAGTCTCTTCTTAAAGCTACCCAAGGTCCTAGCCTCTATTACCCCACTGGGAAGACTGTTCCACGCATCTACAACTCTGTTAGAAAACCAGTACTTACCTATGTCCTTTCTAAATCTAAATTTATCCAACTTAAATCCATTATTCCTGGTTCTTACCTGGTTCGACACCCTCAGTACTTTATTAATGTCTCCCTTGTTTATGCCTGTCATCCACTTATACACTTCAATGATATCTCCCCTCATTCTACGCCTCTCCAGAGAGTGGAGATTTAAGGCTTTAAGTCTATCTTCATATGGAAGGTTCCTTACACAGTAAATCATTTTAGTCATTCTTCTCTGTATGTTCTCTAATGAGTCTATGTCCATCCTGTAAGTAATGATGGTATCACCTATGGCATGATCACTCGGTCTGGCCATTCTGGACATTCAGCTGTCTTGGGGGTCATCAACCAGACTTGGCGAGCTGGCAAACTCCCTGTCGTATGGAAGGAGGCTGACATCATACCGATTCCTAAGCCTGGGGATCCTGGCAGTGTGAGACCCATCTCCCTCACCAGTTGCATCTCGAAGGTGTCTGAAAGGATGGTGTTGGAGCGCCTGAGGTGGAAGCTTGGCCCTCCTCATAAACACCTCTATGGCTTCACCAGAGGAGTGGGCACTTTCGAAAGCCTTACCACTCTACTGACTGGCATTGGGTCGGACGCCCAAGCCCACATTGTTGTCTTTCTTGACCTCGAGAAAGCTTTTGAGCTAGCCAGTGCACCTGCCATCCTCTCACTCTTGGCCCGCAGGGGGATTAAAGGCAGGCTGCTTTCATGGCTTCGTTCCTATCTCCAG